GAAAGTCTTGCAAGTCATGAGTTGAAAATCTGATTTCGATGTTATTTGAAGTTTTTAATTATCCCAGAGGTTAACTTTTGAAGACATTTACATATTTGTGTTGATCCTTGTGTATATTTCTTTATTGGAATATCAGAACTGATTGTCTTTGCTTACAGCAGGGACTGGTGAAAAAGTTTTAAACACAAAATAAAGTGATGCCGTATTGTAAATGGTATGCGTGTAAGTGCATTTATTTTGACTTACCATGTGAAACAGCCTTTAAAGCTCTGTATATTTGTTCGAATCTCACTCATGAAAATTACAGCAAGTAAGTTTAGCAACAAAACTTGCGCTATGATTAGTCAAAAGTAAATTAGCGCATAACAATCATCGATGACAATCCTCCATACGCTTTACATGATTTTATTCATACAACGTATATTATCACATACAAATTATATATTAGACCTACATTATTACATACAAATTATAGATAATTGCATTATTACATACAAATTACAAATTTAATTACATAAAATGATATTCCACTGCAACAAATAATAATTACTTTGAAAATAGAAATATGATAGCAGTCTTAAAACTTGCAAAGGAGTTAATTTTTCTTATTCCTAAAGGAAGAGAATTCCGGAGTACAGGAGCGGAGACTGAAAAGGCTTCGTTGCCATATGTCTCTGTGTTAGTAGGCGTAACAGAAAGAAGATATTGTGAGGATGATCTGTAGTTGTGTCTTGGTGTGTACCGATGTACAAGTTCTGATATGTTGTGTGAAGAGAGGTAATTCTGAGAGTTACAACATAACATGAATATCTGAAAAAAAATAATACCATAAGCGGGGTTTAGAGTGAGGCAATAGATTAAACATTTAGCATGATGGTTGTGAAGTAAGAGAAATAACTGAAGAGAATATGATAAAACCGGCACTGAAAATGTGTGAGATGTTATGGGACAATAGGGACTTTAGATTTGCACAACGACAACGTGGATTGCTACGATCGACGTCCTTTTAATGCACTGCCTTGAATGGACGTCACACGTATCATCAGTCCACGCAAATCTAAAAGTCCTTATTTTCTGCTTGTGCGAATCATGTCCAACCTAAAACCCCCATCACACCAAACTAAATCTTACTACGTTCTGGAACCGTCCTAGAAAATCGTTAAACAGGTTGTGGTCGGGCAGAATGTGTAAAAATGTCTATAATACGATCATAAACAGCCCTCAATACGTCCATCTCGTCTGTACCCCGTCTACAGTCAGTTCACATCAAGTTCACATCTGGTAAATTTGCCATTTCCAGGCAGTCCAAGCCAGTCCGTAGTCAGTTTAAACCCATTATTAACTAGTTCTACCTCATTCCCAATACGTCCAAACCATTCTAACTAGTTCGCCACTTGTTCTAACTAGTTTTTAACCCGGCCACCCCGTTCAGAAACACTTCAACTCGTTCTTAGTGCGTTCGAACGCGCTCCTAGAGCGTGTGCAATCCCGTCCTCGCTCGGGAGCTATAAAAACTCAGCGCGTTCTCGCCATTCCTCATTCCCGTTCAACTTCGACGCTTCAATCTTTGCAAATGAAGACATTCAAGTCAAGCCCCCATCACTTCAAACTAGTTCTTACTACGTTCTGGAAAATGTTGCCAAACGGGCTCAAACTGTGTGCGAACGGAGAGAACGTATTAGCAACTATTTACGATCTTTTTAAGGACTTCATGGACGGGCTCCGATTGGCTTGGACGGGAAGGGTGCTCTAGAACTTTGAGCCTGTTCAAAAAATGTCCCCGTCCTGCAATTAGACGGGAGTGCCAACGTACTTAAACCGAGATGGACGTACTACGAACGGAATTGCCGTACTTCGATCCTACTAGAAACGTGTTACACCGTGATGTGGTCAAGCATCAATTAGGAAGAACGCGCTGTTTTGTTTAGTTCTCGAACCAGAACGGGATTGCACAGCACGATAGGAGCGCGGTCGAACGTATTAAGAACGAAATGGGGATGAGTTGAACTGTCTCTAAACGGGGAGGTTGGGTTATAAACCAAGTTAAAACAATTTCCGAACTAGTATAAATGGTTTGGATTTTAATTACCTTGTCATATTAAAGTTTCACCTTTGCAATAATGAAATTAAAATAAGTTTTTAAAATCGATGAAGATCTACTTTAAAAAAATACACTTTTTTAAACTGGTAACCAATGGATATTAAACAATTTAGGTAAAGTTGGGTCTCTAGAGCGAGTGCCTGTAATGAGCCTTGCTGTTGTATTCTGGATTCTCTGAACACGATTCAATTGCTTTTGGGGTAGACGATAGAAAAGAGTATTACACTTTACATGTTATCTATTATATCATTGGAAATGATTAATAACCCAGTATTCCCCTCCTGAATTTTGACCCCCCCCCCCCACGATAATAATCTGATCTCTGGCAAACTGTATCGTTATCTGTGTGTGAAGAATTTTTATGTGTATCCGGGGTTACCGTGTGTCACGTAGTGAGTCATTAAGGCTCGGTATATTTGTTCAAATCACAATTATGAACATTACAGCAAGTAAGATCAACAACGAAACAAATTTATGCTGTATGTTGGTTCTAGATTATACGACGAAAGTAGACTGTTTGTTTTAGATTATACAACTATTGTCGACCAAAGTCTGCAAAAGATTTACAGGAATCTATTGTATATTGTGTTTCGTTGGTTATACTGCTGGTTGGGCTTCTTTTTGTTTCACTTTATATGCTTTATTTCGTGTGTTTCTTGAGCAAGGAGAAGCAGAAACATGGCGGCGATCAAGTCATCTATTTCAGTCGGTGTAGGATTGCTAATCATACTTTGCTCTGTGCAGCATTCGTTACAAGGTATGTGATTGAATAAACATTATAATAACTGTTTTATTTTCTTTTACCTTTTCACATTATTTTCGGGAAAACGTTTCGTCATTTACAATAAAGGCTCATAAAACCGTTAAGAATTAAACTTATTGAACCGTCATTCAAATACCCTAATAATCAAATCATGTTCGGATAACGTAACGTCATCGCCAAGTTTGACACATTTCAACACGTAATATCTTGCAAGTCTTATCGTGTTAAAATTGCATTCAAAAAGATCAGACAATACATATCCCATGTCTCGCCTAGTGCCGCGCAATATAAGGGACTTTTAGATTGAGTGGATGAGAACGCCGTGAAACGTCCACTGATCGTGCGTGTCCATCCTATATTTTGATATCAAGAATTCAATTCTTGATATCAAGAAATTATTGTGTTGTTGTAAAGCAATGGTAATTCTTGGTATCAAGAAATATGAATAAGTGTTAAAACGGCTTGCCATAGACACGCATGATCAGTGGACGTTCACGCCGTTCTCGTCCACTCAATCTAAAAGTCCCTATTAGCGGAGGAGGACCACTTTCTAGATGCCACTTACTGTTCAATTTGAATGAGGTACATCTTGGTTTAAAAGAGAAAACAAATCATCATTATTCGAAATATTTCAGATGTATACTCTTAAAATAGTTGCTGTCATCTGAAATGATTTTTATATTGTATGAAAAATGTTGAATTATCTTCACGTTGATAATAGATTCAATGTAATTAAGATAAAATGAAATCGAAATGTTATGGTAAAAATAATTTTCTTAAATTTTCATTTCAAAAATACAATTTTTGAAAATCAGAAATCTATTTTTGACCCATACATACGGTATTTGTTATTTTCATTTAATTTAAGGGTAATCTGTCTTGCAACAGTAAGGCTACATTGATATAAATTCACTTAACATAATATACAAACCAAATAAATACGAGAACACATAGCAGGAGTATACCAACTTGATAAAAGATAATAAAAGCGATAAACGATTCATAGTTAATACAATGTGATAGTAATTAATCTAATTAGGATGTATATGATATCGAATTAAAAGTATAAGAGCATGTTTTTCGTGACGAATATATCAAAGCCCTTAACTTAGGATTGGGAATTAAATTAGTATCTTCAATTCCATCGGAATTGCCAACAACGTTTTGACATTCCTATTCTCTCAAAGATCGCCAAACTCATAGAGATTTGAGGGTTTTTTTTCTCGAAATTATGAATACTATTTTTCGTCTAAGCGCAGTCTCCGATTAAGAAGTGACCTTAAAAACCTTTGAAATATTGTGTATTGTTATATTGTCGAGTGACATCAAGGTGATCTCAGTGCAGTTAAAACACTCAATTATAAATTTAGATCTCAGATTTGAAATTTACGTGCTATTAGGGCCGCCCCGAGAGCACGGGGACTCCTTTTGTTAGTTTACTCTTAGTCCTGGCCGGCAGAAGGGGAGGGGGGGGGGGCACCTTTTTGGGGCCACCTTTTTCGCAGTACAACTTTCTAAGAAAAGGCCAGTCTCATTGAGGACAAAAATTGTGTAATAACAAAGTCAATAAAAACAAAGTCATTTAGTTAGCGCTTTTACACATACTAACGGTTTCACAGCGATTCACAGAGTTAAACAACAAAAAGTAGCAAAAGTTATCGATAATCAATGAATAGGAGAGTTTTGAGAGCCTTATATAAAACATTTAATGAAGGAGACAGGCAGACAGATCGTGGCAGGCAATTCCAGAGTCGTGTTACAGAGGCCTGGAAAGCATTAATACCAGCTGTACTATTTATTCTGGGCACATGTAGTATGAAGCAGTCTGAACTTGAACGAAGGCAGGGGCTTGCAGAATGGTAAGGAGACAATTTCATATGATAGTCAAGATCTTTAATAACATTGGTTGTCTGATTGACAGCCAATGCAATTGCTTCAGCCATGAAAATGAGATTTGCTGGAATAGTTTATTATACAGACGTATTATTTCTCTGAATTTCAGTTTGCTACAGGCCTACCAATCTTGACCCAAACATCATAATTAATCCTGACCAGCAAACATACGGGATATACACTGCTTTTGCTACCTCCTGCAATACTGGTTACGATAAGAAAGGACCCGACTCGTACTATTGCCAATATGGAGACCTTGATTACTGGGAGTTTGATACGAGCCCTGCGACTCTGTCTTGTTCAGGTAAGCAAACAAAACAGTTTATCAATTAATCATGTTTGTAAGTAGTATATGTACTGCACGCAGGTCTATATAGTCACAATTCGATGATGAACGAGACTTGTCGAAGTTCATTATAAAACTACGTGTTGGGAACAATAAATGACAGGCCACATGCCTACTATCACCCAATCACTTGATTAGGATCTACGTCATCATTTTATAATATCATTTGGCCTTTTGTATCCTAAGGAAAAGGCATGTTGTAAATTAAGCTGTGTATTAATGATGATTATAGGATAAAAACAGCAGCAACGACAACAAGAGCAGCAATGATTATACCAATTCTTATAATGATAATGATGATGAGGATGAAACTATTACTACAAATACTAATGATGATGATGATAATAAAAATATTGATAATAATAACAATAATACTACTAATATTATTAATAATGATAACATTAATATCATTATTATTTTATTTGTTTTTACTATTAAATTTATTATTATAATTATTATTTATATTATTCAAATAATTATTATCATTAAGCGCAAGGAGTACCGTGCCCTAAACCAAATATTACTGACTCTGCGGTGGTGATCACACCAGAAAAAGCCTCCTACGATACGCACGAGACAGTCACTGCTTCCTGCTCAAGCGGAACATTATCAGGAGATGGTGTTGGGGAGTGTTCTGCCAGATGGAACGTGGGATTTCACATCAGAGCCATCATGCCTATTAAGTATGTATGAAAAAGGTTTGATTTTCTATCAAAATCAAAAGAGAAAATTGTTCTTTCTCGTATAGACCCACATAATACATACGTGTACGCAGGCGCGTGCGCAGGGGGGTTGGGATTTGGGGGTTGATCCCCCTCTAACTGTTTTTAATTGTGCTCTTACCCCCCCCCCCCCCGCTTATTCAGCGGCTGGCTGAGTCGTTGCGAAATTTGTGTAGGTGTGCGTCTGTGGGTGTGCGTGTGCGTGTGCGTGTGTTGCGATTGGTACGTGGATATGCGTGCGTCTTAGGGATTTGGGCGTCAAGTCCAAGGACAGTTGCCAAGGTATTTGGTCGTGTTATGTCCGATATATAACAAAGTATGAACATAAATGTGAACATAACTTGACATAAAATGCAATGTTATCTTGATATTTGGACCGCCCTCCTACCCGAATATCAATTTTCTTGTTTCTCAGAAGATCAAAGAAATGATCTACCCAGTTTTTAAAGCGAAAATATTAGAAAATTCATGACAATTTCAAAAAGACCTCCTCCCAGTCGTAATTATGAGGTGACGACAATCCCCCAGAAAATTAGAAAACTAGACATTGTGGTAACTTTTATTTACCTCTTCTAAAATCATTTTTCGCTATTATATACATTCAAAGTAAAGGCCCCAAAAATTTGGAACTTTCCTCGTTATTATATCAAACTTTCCCCATCACTTAATTCATTTAATTCATTCTATTGTATCTATATGTATTGACTAGATGTATCTGTGCTTATGTATGTATTTTGAATTAATTGTAGATTGATTAGTATATATTAATTATAGTTATTGAATGTATTATTATCTAAGTACAACTTTGTAAAGCGCTTATTACAATGTTCCTAAGCGCTTTACAAAGTTGTACTTAGACATTGTGGTAACTTTTATTTACCTCTTCTAAAATCATTTTTCGCTATTATATACATTCAAAGTAAAGGCCCCAAAAATTTGGAACTTTCCTCGTTATTATATCAAACTTTCCCCATCACTTAATTCATTTAATTCATTCTATTGTATCTATATGTATTGACTAGATGTATCTGTGCTTATGTATGTATTTTGAATTAATTGTAGATTGATTAGTATATATTAATTATAGTTATTGAATGTATTATTATCTAAGTACAACTTTGTAAAGCGCTTAGGAACATTGTAATAAGCGCTATATAAATATAATGTATTATTATTATTATTATTTAAGAGAAAATCAAAACCGTTTCTTTTACAATTAAAAAAAAAATTGTCTTCGCGTAGTCAATTCGTGTTTTACTCCCCGTTTCTTATATCCATTTGTTTTCTCCCGTTGCGTTCTCTTGCTTTTCATTGTCTCTGCATCATTCACATCGTGCGCTCTCTCCCTTTCCCTTTTGTTCTCTGTTCTCATGATCAGCCCTATTTATCAATTTGTATTGACCTGTTCCCCTACTCCCATGTTCCTTTGTTTTATTTTTATGCGTTTGTGTCCTGTCTTTTTATTCTTCGTAAGTCTCTGTTGGCTCATGTTACCCTTATGTAGGAGAAGTATGTTGTTATGAATATCAAATTATGATTTTGTAATTCTGTTATCATACCGCACTTACATATCAATCTTTTTTCCCTTTCTTCTTTTTCTTTCAAATCTACATGTATTTGTTATATAAGTTCATGAAGGATAAAAAGGCATGTTATCTGCAGATGACTTGTAGGTGAATTTGAATGATCAGTTATTTCATGAGAATACCAAACTACTGACCTCTACCTCCTACACGGATCATCGCCCATTCCCATTCAATATACGTTACGTACTAAAAGGATGTATTGTCTGACCGTTCATGAATATTCATGTTTTTGCTTACCTCGGCAAAATGTTTGCTTTCACTAAATTGAAAAATTACGGTGGGGGGTTGGATGAAATGGACAAAATGAAATAGGCAGAAGTGATCTATGATAATTCATGCTTTTTATGTTTCGTGTGCTCGACCTATAATCTTCAAATCGCTTGGAAAACTGAGTCCAAAGTTAGACTTGTTTCACATGTGTATTATAGCTAGCAATGACGAGCTTGCAACCTATTTTGAAAAATTACGGTGGGTGAACTTTCAAAAGTCAATGAGACATGAGGGCTCCAATGAAAGAGCTAGTGATAACGTACGTCGGGGTGGATGTGCTTTTCGTTTAAACAAAAAAAATGAATTTTTAACGATTTTTTTTTTTAAAAACGTCCATAGGCTAACATGTTAGGCTGCTGACTCTGACCAGGCTCTGACGATAGGGGGCGTTGTGAAATGAGACTAAACGGAGCAATATGTACCGTCCGCCAAATGACTTTGTGGTTTCCTCTCCTCAAATTGATCTTAATCACTCATGCGTGAAATATGCATCATATGAGTTGAATCAAATGAAAGAGGAAGATCTAAGCTTTATGTGTCATTTATTAATTATAAATGTGACTAAGATATGATAAAACATCGCTTATTCTGGGTTTCGTTTTTTCTGGGACGCACTGTATATAGCAGCGCACTTAATGAATTTATAACCTGAGAATGTATGAGCTAAGAGTATGTTATACACAAATGGACTGTAAAGAGGGAGATATAAAGTGGAATGATTTGATGAAACGATAGAGAGAGAGAGAGAGAGAGAGAGAGAAAGAGAGAGAGAGAGAGAGAGAGAAGGGAAGAAATTGGGAGATAGGTGCCAGAATAAATACTCTGACGATTTGGTGATCTGGGAAGGCAGGTAATATGCCAACTCGTCATTATGCATCCCCCGATCCCCCCACCCCATTTGCAAATTTAATATATCTAACTTCATTTTAGTGATAATGTTTAATAATATTCAAGCAAGCAAAATAAAATAATAATTTAATTTTCTCTCACGCAGTGTTCTGTACCATGTGGTACTAATTTCATTAAGTCCATGCTTTGTTCATAATATATGTGACTCGTTTGATATTTCAGCTACTCTAGGACCATTCAGTACTGACAACTTCAAAACTGAAGAAGAGACAACTAGTAAGATTTGTATTTTCAAATGATTTACTATATCTTTTGAATTGAATTTGAATTTAATAACCACAACATATCACAATAATGAGAGTATAATGAACAATCATACAATGCAAAGAATAACGATACATGAATACATAAAGGAGGAGTAATGTTGATTGAACAGTAATGGTTTTAAAACGATATTTAGACATAGATATGAATACTATTTTGTACAAAATATACACATAATTATATGCATTGAAGTTGTTAATGGGGACTAGAAGTTAGCACATGTGCTAGTCGAGCCCAGATCCATTCTTTGGCAAGGTTTTTGTTTAAACGTATGCTTGTAAAACTTGTTTGATTTGTATTTACATAGATTATATATACAAAATAATACAGTATCAAGTAACTTGTTTACATTTCTAAAAGAAAAAAAGGTAAAGCGCCAAAGAATTATAATGAAAGATAACAAATCGTTAAATGAATACAATCATTGGTATGTTCAAAATATGAAAAGGATGTATTAATAAAAATAAGGCATAAAATCATGTGCGTAGATGCTCAAATCTTTTAAAAGCTTGAGGGCAGAAATAATCATCAACAAACAAATGTATACACACCAGGGGTAGATACATAGCCCTGCAAAATAATGATAAATGCACAATGATGTGCAATTCATTTATAGTTCCCACTAATCGTATTCTCTAAAATAAGTTGGTTTTTTTAAAAATCATATTGGGTTTGAAATTAAGCATGCATTTTTCGGGTAAAATGATAGCCAACATTGGGTAAATTCTATCCAACATTGGGTTGAATTTTAGCCAACAAACATGCATGTCTTTAAAAAAAATTACAATGGGTAAAATCTTTCCCAATTCTTTGTACAGTGTAATTAGATTGGAAAAAGATACCCCCCCCCCAAAAAAAGGGAAACTTGGATTAGACATTTAAAAAAAAAGGAGAAGCTAGCTACAGAGAGAAAATTTGTGGGGGATTCCAAGAGACAAGCAAAGGGCAGTATACTATGTGTATAAGTGAGTATGTATTGTATTGAAAATAATGAGTAAATGAACAAGTTCCTAATGGAAGATTCAAATTACTGACATCTACGATTGTACAGCGAATATACATGTACTTTCCAACCTTACTGACCATTTAATTAGTCATGTATTTCAAGCTTTAATCGGATTTCATTATGTCAACATGGGTGAGTATCATAATAACTTATTACACAATTCATTAAGTTATGCCTAATCAATTTTCCCCTTCAGTTGATCCACAACCAGACCCCACCACCATCACCCATGCAGGTAAGACGAATGATTGATATTAATAATCTTCGTCACGTGCATTGTGATGATTTCCTTAAAGCCCCTCTGCACTAGATTGGCCAGGAGGGATTAGACCTCCCTCCATGGTCACCGATAGGTGGTTATCTCATCAAATCAACTCTCAATTAACATAAGAAAAAGGGGATCATAGGGGACCAGCGGTCACCGATCAGGCATTGTTTGCTATATAGAGGGCGTAAGGAGCTATAAGTAGTGCAGTGGGGCTTCAACTAACACACTTCTGATATACTATCAGAAGATTTAGAATTAAGAAATAAGATTAACAATTCCGACATCAACTGGCGAATGATAAGATTTGATCGAAGCGCCTAAAACGTATCATTATCTCGAAAGGCAGTGAAGGTTAGAAGGGGGAGGTACTTTCCCCCGTGCTGTAATTGGAATTTAAATTCAAATTCAAATTTTTATTTTGTATTTCAATCTGAATTTTCTCCGATGACCACCAACATCATCCACAGGAGCCAGCGTATCTTGTGAGAGCACGACCATGACGGTTCTCCTCGACCGAGCCCTGCTCGAGAATAACGGTGATGCCACTGACGTCCACTACGAAGACCAGAGCTGTGTCGGGTACGACTACACCGGAAGTCGCATAGCCGTCACCACCAGATATGACGACTGTGATACTGTGTCGGAGGTAAGAAAGGATTCTTAATAACCTGCCCTGTAATGTTAGGAAAATCTCATCCAACTTGTGATGTGGGGGGGGGGAGCCGGGGGAGAGGCGGGTATCAGAGGGAGAAATGCAGAAGATGGGAATGGTAGTCATATTTTTTGTTTTAAATGATATTTTATTTCCTTCCTCATAATTTCACATAACAAGAAATTCACATAACAAGAAATTATCAAAATAATCAATATAAAACAAGATCTTTGATACAAGACACTTCATGAGTTACATCAATCAATGAACATAGAGAAAAACAAAAAACAAAAAAAATCTTGCATGTAACAGTGTATAATCAAAAAACAGTAGAGGAAGGTTTAAAGTGTAGATTTTTTTGTTTTAAATGATATTTTATTTCCTTCCTCATAATTTCACATAAAAAGAAATTCACATAACAAGAAATTATCAAGATAAGCAATATAAAACAAGATCTTTGATACAAGACATTTCATAAGTTATATCAATCAATGAACATAGAGAGAAAAAAAAAAGGAAAAAAAAGTCTTGCATGTAACAGTGTATAATCAAAATAACAGTAGAGGAAGGTTTAAAGTTACATATTACCATCCTATCACAACACTCTCACACCCCCCCCCTTCTAGCCCACCCACACCACACCCCTTTCATATGGCTCCCTTTAGTCTCATTTCACAACGCCCCCTATCGTCAGAGCCTGGTCAGAGTCAGCAGCCTAACATGTTAGCCTATGGACGTTTTTTTTTTAAATCGTTAAAAATTCATTTTTTGTTTAAACGAAAAGCACATCCACCCCGACGTACGTTATCACTAGCTCTTTCATTGGAGCCCTCATGTCTCATTGACTTTTGAAAGTTCACCCACCGTAATTTTTCAAAATAGGTTGCAAGCTCGTCATTGCCTATAATACACATGTGAAACAAGTCTAACTTTGGACTCAGTTTACCAAGCGATTTAAAGATTATAGGTCGAGCACACGAAACATAAAAAGCATGAATTATCATAGATCACTTCTGCCTATTTCATTATGTCCATTTCATCCAACCCCCCACCGTAATTTTCTATTTAGTAAAAGCAAACATTTTGCCGAGTTTAGCAAAAACATGAATATTCATGAACGATCAGACAATACAGCCTTTTAGTACGTAACGTATAGTGAATGGGAATGTTCGATGATCCGTTCAGGAGGTAGAGGTCAGTGGTTTGTGCTGGCAATGTTCACGCGAGCGAAAATGAGACAATCGGAGCAATATGATAGCAGTACGTTTGCATTCCAGAGAACATGTAGGAAACGGTCGCGTATACATTACCATATTTCAGTAATCAGAGGGGGGGGGGGGGGTGTGGTTTGTTTTCTAATTGGTATCTGGACGACCCGCGTGTTGTACGTTATACTGCAAATAAAATTGTATATATTTTCTTTGACCTACAAACGGGGATGGGGGACAATACCCAGGGAGTGGAGAATGTGCATACATTGTGTGCGGGTAAGCCTGAATCCTATGACCGGGGTAATAATATATATATTTGTAAAGCGCTTTGAGAGGGCCTTCGGTCTTGAAAAGCGCTATATAAGAACTAGCTATTATTATTATTATTATTAATACCGGCTTTAGTTGAGATGTTTTGCCCTTCCTGAGGCCAAGGCCTGGATACGTCACTACTTAGACTCGAAACGCTGCATATGAACAACGCAATATTGTTCTGTCCTGTTTCCGAGGGCAGGGGGACAGTTTTCCCTTATTACTTTAATAAGATTATTGAGCGAAAACAATTTCATGTGTTCCCTTGCCAGATTATTGAAAGGCCCTATATCGACATTATTGGCTATTGCCAACTCAATCTACCTTGATATTTTTGTCATCTTTTCCCAATTTTTCTGAAAGCAAACTGCTGATGTCATCAAGTACTCCAACGTCGTGACGTACTTCAAACCGACGGGTGAAAACGGATCGCTGATCACGCGTGATTTCCGCCTCAAGATCCCCGTCACTTGCGAGATCAAACGCCGCAGTCTACTCGGTAGCTCCTTCAAGCCCAAACTCGGCATCGTGAGCTTCAGCGAGACTGGTTACGGTAATTTCTCACCGGCGTGAAGTTAGAAAGATATTCGATATTCGATATTCGATATTCAAAGTGCGAATATCAAGCCAGTTTGATATTCGGATTTTCGGATATTCAAAAAATAACATTTCAATGCACATAAACATATCTGATATAAGCTTGTTTTAGGTACCCAACCCCTATTGACCGGGACCATCATCTGTTGTCTGATAGATATGAAAACAACATACATTTTTATATGAGTTTTATCCCGGTCAAAAGGGGATAAGTCACATATCTTGGCAAAAAAGATACATGTCTTACGTAAAATATTATTATTCCATATACACATGCATAATTATATCGGATATATCGAGGCCTTGTTTTAGATACCCATCCCCTATTGACCGGGACCAGCATCTGTTGTCTGATAGATATGAATAAACAAACATTTTGATATGACTTTTATCCCGGTCAAAAGGGGATAAGTCACATATCTTATTTAAAAAGATACATGTCTCTCTTTTAAAATATAATTATTCCATACAGATGCATATATCGGATATATGGGCCTTTTTTAGATACCCATTCCCTATTGACCGGGACCATCATCTGTTGTCTGATAGATATGAATGCAACAAACATTTTGATATGACTTTTATCCCGGTCAAAAGGGGATAAGTCACATATCTTATCAAAAAAGATACATGACTCTCTTTAAATATTCCATACACATGCATATATCGGATATATGGGCCTTTTTTAGGTACCCATCCCCTATTGACCGGGACCATCATCTGTTGTCTGATAGATATGAATGCAACAAACATTTTGATATGACTTTTATCCGGTCAAAAGGAGATAAGTCACATATCTTATCCAATTAAGATACAGGTATCTGTAGCACATCATAATTCCATACACATGCATATATCGGATATATGGGCCTTTTTTAGATACCCATCCCCTATTGACCGGGACCATCATCTGTTGTCTGATAGATATGAATGCAACAAACATTTTTATATGACTTTCATCCCGGTCAAAAGGGATAAGTCACATATCTTATTTATAAAGGTACATGTCTCTCTTTTAAAATATAATTATTCCATACAGATGCATATATCGGATATATGGGCCTTTTTTAGATACCCATCCCCTATTGACCGGGACCATCATCTGCTGTCTGATAGATATCAATGCAACAAACATTTTGATATGACTTTTATCCCGGTCAAAAGGGGATAAGTCACATATCTTATCCAATTAAGATACAGGTATCTGTAGCACATCATAATTCCATACACATGCATATATCGGATATATGGGCCTTTTTTTAGATACCCATCCCCTATTGACCGGGACCATCATTTGTTTTCTGATAGATATGAATACAACAAACATTTTTATATGACTTTTATCCCGGTCAAAAGGGGTTAAGTCACATATCTTATTCAATTAAGATACAGGTATCTGTAGCACATCATAATTCCATACATATGCATATATCGGATATATGGGCCTTTTTTAGATACCCATCCCCTATTGACCGGGACCATCATCTGTTGTCTGATAGATATGAATGCAACAAACATTTTGATATGATCTTATCCCCGTCAAAAGGGGATAAGTTACATATCTTATCCAATTAAGATACAGGTATCTGTAGCACATCATAATTCCATACACATGCATATATCGGATATATGGGCCTTTTTTTTAGATACCCATCCCCTATTGACCGGGACCATCATCTGTTGTCTGATAGATATGAATGCAACAAACATTTTGATATGACTTTTATCCGGTCAAAAGGGGATAAGTCACATATCTTATCAAAAAAGATACATGACTCTCTTTAAATATTCCATACACATGCATATATCGGATATGGGCCTTTTTTAGGTACCCATCCCCTATTGACCGGGACCATCATTAGTTTTCTGATAGATATGAATACAACAAACATTTTTATATAACTTTTATCCCGGTCAAAAGGGGATAAGTCACATATCTTATTCAATTAAGATACAGGTATCTGTAGCACATCATAATTCTATACACATGCATATATCGGATATATGGGCCTTTTTTAGATACCCATCCCCTATTGACCGGGACCATCATCTGTTGTCTGATAGATATGAATGCAACAAACATTTTGATATGACTTTTATCCCGGTCAAAAGGGGATAAGTCACATATCTTATCAAAAAAGATACATGACTCTCTTTAAATATTCCATACACATGCATATATCGGATATATGGGCCTTTTTTAGGTACCCATCCCCTATTGACCGGGACCATCATTAGTTTTCTGATAGATATGAATACAACAAACATTTTATATAACTTTTATCCCGGTCAAAAGGGGATAAGTCACATATCTTATTCAATTAAGATAAGGTAGGTATCTGTAGCACATCATAATTCTATACACATGCATATATCGGATATATGGGCCTTTTTTTAGATACCCATCCCCTATTGACCGGGACCATCATCTGTTGTCTGATAGATATGAATGCACCAAACATTTTGATATGACTTTTATCCCGGTCAAAAGGGGATAAGTCACATATCTTATCTAAAAAGATACATGTCTCTCTTTTAAAATATAATATTCAATAAAGATGCATATATCGGATATATGGGCCTATTTTAGGTACCCATCCCCTATTGACCGGGACCATCATCTGTTGTCTGATAGATATGAATGCAACAAACATTTTGATATGACTTTCATCCCGGTCAAAAGGGGATAAGTCACATATCTTATCCAATTAAAGATACAGGTATCTGTAGCACATCATAATTCCATACACATGCATATATCGGATATATGGGCCTTTTTTAGATACCCATCCCCTATTGACCGGGACCATCATCTGTTGTCTGATAGATATGAATGCAACAAACATTTTGATATGACTTTTATCCCGGTCAAAAGGAGATAAGTCACATATCTTATCCAATTAAGATACAGGTATCTGTAGCACATCATAATTCCATACACATGCATATATCGGATATATGGGCCTTTTTTAGATACCCATCCCCTATTGACCGGGACCATCATCTGTTGTCTGATAGATATGAATGCAACAAACATTTTGATATGACTTTTATCCCGGTCAAAAGGGGATAAGTCACATATCTTATTTATAAAGGTACATGTCTCTCTTTTAAAATATATTTATTCCATACAGATGCATATATCGGATATATGGGCCTTTTTTAGATACCCATCCCCTATTGACCGGGACCATCATTTGTTTTCTGAAAGATATAAATACAACAAACATTTTTATATGACTTTTATCCCGGTCAAAAGGGGTTAAGTCACATATCTTATTCAATTAAGATACAGGTATCTGTAGCACATCATAATTCCATACATATGCATATATCGGATATATGGGCCTTTTTTAGATACCCATCCCCTATTGACCGGGACCATCATCTGTTGTCTGATAGATATGAATGCAACAAACATTTTGATATGATCTTATCCCCGTCAAAAGGGGATAAGTCACATATCTTATCCAATTAAGATACAGGTATCTGTAGCACATCATAATTCCATACACATGCATATATCGGATATATGGGCCTTTTTAGATACCCATCCCCTATTGACCGGGTCCATCATCTGTTGTCTGATAGATATGAATGCAACAAACATTTTGATATGACTTTATCCCGGTCAAAAGGGGATAAGTCACATATCTTATCAAAAAAGATACATGACTCTCTTTAAATATTCCATACACATGCATATATCGGATATATGGGCCTTTTTTAGGTACCCATCCCCTATTGACCGGGACCATCATTAGTTTTCTGATAGATATGAATACAACAAACATTTTATATAACTTTTATCCCGGTCAAAAGGGGATAAGTCACATATCTTATTCAATTAAGATACAGGTATCTGTAGCACATCATAATTCTATACACATGCATATATCGGATATATGGGCCTTTTTTAGATACCCATCCCCTATTGACCGGGACCATCATCTGTTGTCTGATAGATATGAATGCAACAAACATTTTGATATGACTTTTATCCCGGTCAAAAGGGGATAAGTCACATATCTTATCTAAAAAGATACATGTCTCTCTTTTAAAATATAATTATTCCATACAGATGCATATATCGGATATATGGGCCTTTTTTAGATACCCATCCCCTATTGACCGGGACCATCATTTGTTTTTTGGTAGATACGAATACAACAAACATTTTTATATTACTTTTATCCCGGTCAAAAGGGGATAAGTCACATATCCTTTTCAATTAAGATACAGGTATCTGTAGCACATCATAATTCCATACATATGCATATATCGGATATATGGGCCTTTTTTAGATACCCATCCCCTATTGACCGGGACCACCATCTGTTGTCTGATAGATATGAATGCAACAAACATTTTGATATGATCTTATCCCGGTCAAAAGGGGATAAGTTACATATCTTATCCAATTAAGATACAGGTATCTGTAGCACATCATAATTCCATACAGTCACATGCATATATCGGATATATGGGCCTTTTTTAGATACCCATCCCCTATTGACCGGGACCATCATCTGTTGTCTGATAGATATGAATGCAACAAACATTTTGATATGACTTTTATCCCGGTCAAAAGGGGATAAATCACATATATTATCAAAAAAAGATACATGACTCTCTTTAAATATTCCATACACATGCATATATCGGATATATGGGCCTTTTTTAGGTACCCATCCCCTATTGACATGGACCATCATTTGTTTTCTGATAGATATGAATACAACAAACATTGTTATATAACTTTTATCCCGGTCAAAAGGGAATAAGTTACATATCTTTTTCGATTAAGATACAGGTATCTGTAGCACATCATAATTCTATACACATGCATATATCGGATATATGGGCCTTTTTAGATACCCATCTCTATTGACCGGGACCATCATCTGTTGTCTGATAGATATGAATGCAACAAACATTTTGATATGATCTATCCCGGTCAAAAGGGGATAAGTCAC